GCTAGCCCCGCCCCTAGCGGACACAGACGGAAACGTAATCTACTTCCTGGATGGCCCTCGTAAGTTATATGAATTCATCTGCAAATTTTCTGCTTGCTAAGTACCAGCTCAAGCTTTTTCAACTGAAACGTTTAGTTGCCTTTTACCATGGCAATTTTTAAATTTGGTTAACCAACCTGTTGAATATGTACTCAGTTTTTAAGTGTATTTAAGTGAATATGTGTATTCAGTTTTTTTTAAGATTATTTTTCATGAAATGTTTTGGCTTGAGTCATTAGCAATGAACCATTATTGGCATGCCTAGTTACTTATTCAATCATCACTTTGTTGATTTTTCTGTTATTCAATGCAAGTAAGCTGAGAGAATCTATAAAAAATTCCAAAAATTTTGTTTTTCTGTTTTTCTTCATTATTATTATTATTATCGCATACTATTGGCTTTTCAGCACTGCACTACTCATGTAATTTTGAAACAGATGTACCTTTATTATTATACAGTCAAAAGTCATTAATCCGGACGTCCATAATCTGGTAGATCTATAATACACCTCAAGCTACAACTTTCTGCGCATGCGCGTTTACCTTACGCATGCGCATAATATGTTGTACTACCTTTACGCATGTGCATAATATGTTACGCATGCGCTTTGTAAACGGATGGTATCTAGCTAAAATTATCTAATTATCTATTTCAGTAATATGCAGATTGGTTTCCTTAATCTTCGAAATTGGAATCCGGCTTATTATTTTTTTTGCAATTGTTCGAGCAATTTTATAAAAGTAAGCTGAACTTCAATTATGTCAATAGATTTCTGATGCTGGGAGCTGGCCAAAGGATCTACAAAGCGAACGCATGTTTCGATGTCCATCAAACAAAAAGTAGAATTGCTGCAAAAAACGTATAAAGGCATATCCTTTGTTTCTCTAACCATTCCGAAATCTGTTTATCAATTTCATGCTGTTCTGGGGGGGGCACACTGTGGCACACAATGAACGGGAAGTTGATCTGTCAGCACTATCCTTAGCTTCAGGGCAGATGTTTTTATTTTATTCTGCTTATAATTCATTACTAAATGTAGTATTTTCATCTCGATTACTCCATCTTTGATATGATTTAAATCAAATTCCTCTCATATAAATGTCACGAATACACATCAAATATTTTTCTGGTTGCAATTTTCTAATTTCGACTATGAGTAATGTATGCTTTACGCATTGGGGTTTGAAAAAAATGGTTATAAAGTAAATAATATTAAGCTTTTTTTTGTAATTTTGATCCCCTTTAGATCATAATTGCTTCTTATTTCATAAATTATGGTTTCATATTTTAATTCTCTAATTTCTGCATGCCATCTTACCAGATTTAAACTGATGATCTATAATCCGGAAAAACCGATAATCCGGAATAGCCCGACGAGTCCGGATTAAAGATATTTTGACTGTAAATAATTAGTGTTATACTATGTTATAGATACATTAGGTCTTTTTTTTTTCCTTTTCTCAGAGCAAATAACGAGAAATCAACTTTTCCAGTGCTAGCTGGATGTCCTACTACTTCTAAGCATAAATGGAGAAATGTGATAATTCCTTGTTTCTCCCTCATTTAAAGGATGACTAGCGAGAGACTTTATCAATCAAGCCCAGGCAGTAATGCATTATCATCCACTATATTTTAGTTCATGTGCCATTGTAAAGAAATTTGGCTTTTTGAAACAAGGAACATGAGAAATTAGCAACCGAACCACGGATCTTCTGATGCTAGACACCATAACAGCACATATACTGGATGTAATAGCTCCTTATAAACTTAGTGAGTACTAATCAGTTATTTTTCTATGTTTACATAACAGCAAACTTATGCTATAATTAATATCTTTATATAAAAAAACTTATGCCTAATTAATAATGTAAAAATAGCAGTTGTTTAAAATTCTCAAGTTGCTTCATTCAAACTTTTTATTTATTTATTTAACTTGAGGCGGTTGGAAAATATGTAAAAATTATTTTGATTATTTCTTCGCTGCAGTTAAAATATGCTATTTATTTAATTTATTAACAGTATACTGCCTGTCACATAAAGCATTATATCATTTGCATAGTATAAACATACAGAATGAAGCATGTTCTTAGACTGCAATGATCTTCAGAACTTCATTAAATTCTGGCCAATAAAAAAATTCAGACCTCTTCTCTGTAATCTTCTTATTAAATTTTATGTAGATTAAAAAAAAAACATGTATATCATCTTAAATGAACAGTTATAAAAATGTGTACAAACACTAATTGAAAAGAAATATGTTACTAATTTTAACTAATAAATAAAATATAAACGCATAAAATTCATTGATGAATAGAAATATACAAATTAAAATTCTGTACAAGTCTATTCATTTATTATTTTACATTTTTGTACTAAAAGTTGATTATCTGAAATTGAAAAAATAACATTTAAAAATTCTTGAAAAATCAATAAATAATGCTATATCACCAAATATTATTATAATCTAGAAATTTTTATTTCCTTAACTACAACAGTTTAGCAGATAAATTTTTTATTTCTATGTTCATTTTGATACGCAGATTTACGCATCCTCTCCCTCCCCTAAAAAAATAATGACAATTTAAGATTGGCAGATCTTCTTTCTATATAATCAAAATCTTAAAATATCTTCTCAGCAATATAAATATTAATGCATATGTATATTAACTGTAAACAATTCAAACATTGTCATACAGCTCCAATAATTTTTAGAATTTTTTCAGTAAAGTTGCACATAAGGAACTTTTATAGTAGTATATGCATTATGTACAGTGCATTCTGAAAGTCACTATGCACCTGTGATGCAGTAGGAAAAATAGTATGTAACTTTCACTTACCTCACAGTAATTGTTGGAAATGTTCATTATGAGCCACCAGACATGGTAGCATACGTCTCTTCATGTTGTCGAAGACTGGCAAGTTACGCCTCTGGAATGTTCTTTGTGAAGTCACGAATAGAAGTTTCCAATTCCAGGAACGAGTGACAGCTTTATCGATAAACATTAGCTTTTGCATAGTAGCAGTAATAAAAATCTTGAGAATGAGGAGACCACAAACCCTTTGAAGTGATTTGATCTCCGAAAACATCTTCCCATAACTTCAAGGACTTACGATCTGTGTGCACAGTGGCACCATCTTGTTGCATCCAGGTATTGTTAATTTCACCCTCTGTTAGTTCTCCCATGAACTTGTAAATAACTTCACAATAATGATGAGAACTGATTGTTTCTCCAAAGAATACTGAGCCTACTATTCTTCTCCTGGATACTGCTATGCACATGCCAAGTTTTTGGTCGTGTAGCAGAGTTTCATGAAGTGCATTTGGATTTTTACTTGACCATAAAGATGAGTTCTGTGCTTAGACATAACCTGATAAATGGAACCATGCATAATCATTAAAAAAGATACTCCACTATATTGTCAGAATTGTCTGCAAGGAATTGCTGAAACCATTCATGAAACTGAGTTCATTTTCCAGTGTCACTGGGGACTAACTGTTGAACTACTTTCACTTTACATTGGATGAGACCAAGTTTTGAACAGCTTTATGTGCCATCGTAATGCCAATGTTTTCCTGCTGAGCCAATTTTTGCATGGATTTGCTGGAGCTATGTAGTATTGCATCCAATATTTCCAACAAATTTTTCTTCAATGAGTACTAATAGTCTCTCACTTCATGGATAATAATTTACTGATGTGGTCTCCCTAATTCTCTTGAAAAGTGCTCAGACATGCTTTCAATTAGGCCCAGTTGTACCTGGAAATTTACTGGCAAATTGCTCTTTCACTGTGTGTACTGGCCATGATCCCAGAACACATATTTAACAAGGAATATTCGCTGTTTCAAAGTTCCAAACAGAAAGAAAACACTAAACTTGGATTAACATGTTCAAACGTGAGGATGCACAATAGTGTGCTGTACACACTGACCTTCTCAAGGCCAGCAAGCAGAATGACTCAGACAAAGCAACTGCAGTGTAACCAACTGTTACATAAAACATTCCTTTGAATCGCATAAGTTGGAAAAATATCTCGCCATATAACTGTGTCTATTTGTAATCGTGGAAGTGCATAGTTACTTTTTGAATGCACTGTACTTAACTACTATGTAGTATATGCACAAAAACATTATACAAGCAAATCTATGTATTTTTAATACTTAAAAGTAATTCTGATCTTATGGATCTAGTTTAATTACATTATTGAGATGTTTATATATTTAGTGAAAATGGATATTTTTCACATATAAAATGTGTTTAAATGATTAGATCTTAATCTTTCAAAATACAAAAGAAACCAAATTAAACAATGTATTGCTTATACATTTTTCTCCTTACATATAGGTACCCTACATCTAAAAATGAACTTATCAATGAATACCATTACAAGTTAAATATAAAGAAAAATAATTAGTTACATTCAGCCCACCTCAAGGCCACAAACAAATGTAGCACTAACTGATTTTTTACAGGTTATAAAAAGCTAACATTTGCATTACAATTTTATCTGCTGCTGCACTAGTTAAAATGGAGGGAAAGAGAAAGACAGAAAATATAGTCATTCTCTTTGTGTTAGAAGAGCATATAATAAGAGTGTCAAAATATTACTAATGTCGAACAGTAATTTAATAACTCTAAATATAAATGAAAAAGAAGGAGAATAATAAAACAGTAAGACATTTAAAGTAATCAATTTAACTAATCTAGTTTTAAATCACTATTTGAAAAATATCTTTAACTCAAGCCATAAATGTTATAAAACTTCATATTATAATACAGTACACACGTCTTATATTAAATTCCTTGTTATGAATAAAATTACAAAAAGACAATACTAAATAATGACAGCTAAAGGATGGCACAACTGCTTTAGTATTTTATAATGCATACATATATATTAAAACAGATGATAAATTTCTAGTTTAAGTATTTTTAGATAAATGATAAAAGAAAATAAAAACCTGTTGGTGTAGATGCCTGTGACCTCTCACTAGAAGTTGAGTTAACAAGATCCAAATTACTCCTCTGCATAAGAAAAAACTATTTATAACAACAACTCAAAATTCAGATTTGGTATAAAAATACAATTGCAATTTTTTAAATTTAATGAAAACATCATCTGAGATTTCAAAATATAATTCTAAAATATTGGTGCATAACATCTAGTGAAGCTGTTATAGAGTATGGAATAGAATTACAGGCTACTATTTTTCTGTTGCAGACTTGATGCTAGAGTTTAAATACAGAGGTTACCTGATCAATCAAAAGCAATACCAAGGACGATATTCACAGTTAACCTAAAATCCCAATTAATCTCACAGCAGTTAAAAAGGGAAAAAAAAGGGGGGATGGGAAGAGGAATAACTTTGTTACTGTTGGGAAATTTGCATTCCTCCTTAGCAGCTGCACTGAGCCGAAATAGGTAAAGCATATAATCATAACTAGAATATAAGGAATGACAGGGAACCATGTTTTACACTACTGTGCATCACTCTCAAGAACCTTCAAAAATTCAAAACCACAGGTTATGGGCTCAGGTCTGATTTCCCAAATCTTTTCCAGATGTCCAAGAAGACCAACGGAGAAATATGCCTAAGCAGCAAGTGGTGGGAACAAGGTAAGCAAAAGTATGCTTCCTTCTTTCCTCGAGTTTACTGAAATTATATGTATCTGATGAAAACGAAGTTTTAAAATGAGAAACTAGGATAACAGTAACTATGAAATATGGCAATTTCAAGTGAAAATGGTTATAATCCAATCAGAACTTTGGTAAGTCATGAGTGGCAGTTAGTCAAGCCAGAAACTTCCAAAACTAACTAAGCCGAACTTAACAAATGGCTTTCAAAAATCAAAAAGCAATTATTGCTCTGAGTGCGAAATCATTTGAGGTAATTCCCATTAAAATATGTCAAATTTCTTAAGAAGCATGGATGAAACTCCACGAAATTGAACAGCCCAAAGGTCCTATTTCTAATGCAAGCCTCATGAAGGAACTTATCTCAAAAAAGATTAAATGCAAATGAAAAAATGCAGGATTGCCTAACTTCTTTCTTCAAAATTATAGACAAAGTAGCAGAAATAAAATCTGAAATTCTCGAAGAATTCCTAACCATTTTGCTATTATGTAATCTAACTGAAGAATTTGAAAGTTTTAGAACCGCGATAGAATCTCATGATAAATTAACCGACTTAAACATGCTAAAAGTTAAACTACTAGAAGAATCTAAAAATCATCAATTTAAAATGCAGGAAAACAGAAATGTAGGATGTAATAGTAACTAAATATCACAGCAATGCGAAAAAGAAGTCTAACAATGCAAAAATCTTCAGGTGTTATAAGTGTAACAGAAAAGATCACAAAATATCAAAATGTACAAAAAATAAAGGCAAAAATCCTAATCAGGAATTCCCTAAACAAAGTTGTTTGCTATCTCACCAATGTCAACCCAATGCAAGAATTAGAAACACATAATTGGTAAATTGATTCAGGAGCAACAGCACACGCATGTGCATCAAGTATGAGTCTAAAGCAGAAATGTCAGCCAGTAACAAAGAATCTTGGCAGAGACAAACATAGAAAATGCATGAATCTATTAGATCTTAAACTTTAACTAATAAATGTCTTTTTTTGTTAGGAGAGCATTGAGAAATTTGAATTTCTTCTTTGTGGCTGCACTGAGCTGAAAAAGGTAAAGTATACAAACTTGCGGTTGAATCTGAGGAATGAAACGAGAACTGTGTGTTCACCAGATGGAGGTGAAGACTGTGTGTCCTTCCAATGTGAGGTGAAACATGTGTATCCTCCTGATGTGCCTTATCGACATGGCCCAACAGCCATGAATCATTCAGTGATGTGACAATTTCAAGGCATGGAAACCTGCAGCGGAATATGGCTACGTAAGATTAGATTTTTTGCTTTTACTTCTTATGTGGCATGACAAGGAAAGGGAGGAATGCACAGTGTAGGTCTTTTTAAGGAAAACTGGATCATATTTAAGTTACACAGGGAAAAACCATGAAAACACCCATGCAGAGAGCCTGTTTGGCAGTACTGAACCCTGGACAAAACTGAAAGTATGCAACGGCTTTTACCTCTCGGTCACGGGGCCACTATGGAAGATAGATTGTAACAGGAATTTACCACCAGTAGCCCAGATAATTTACTATGCCACCAAGTACCTTCCTAACTAAATGAACTGTTAAATAGACTCGACTCATGTACTGGTCAAGCACATTCATCTGTTATTCATCATATGGTTTTACCAATGTGTCACAGTCTAACATGATATGTTCATTTGTTTTGTTTAACTCAAGGAAAGCCAACCATTTAAATTTTATGTTTTCAACATACAGCAATAATACTCAATAATAGGGAACCACATTTTACACTAGTTAGTAACACTCTCAAGAACCTTAAAAAATTCAAAACAACAATTATAATTAACAGAAACATTAAATTTATTACTGCAGTTTAAAAATTTATTTTTAATGGATGATTTAACAGTATTTATGCATTTCAGGATTAAAATAATTCCTAAGTACTGTGACATCATCTGGTATCACTACTGCTATCATATATATATTTTTTCCTTACTTTTGCATTTCTTGAAAAAAATTTAGCTTGATTTTTTATTTTTATTTTTTTTTTTTTTATGAATTTTGATGATTTGTAATGGAAGATTTTCTATTATTCCATAATAAACAATTTTTTTTAAAAATAAGGATAGGTTAATCTGCCCCTGGTTAAACAGGTGTTGACTGTACAGTAGATCAAAACTCTGCAGAAATTTCACAATTTTGTGGTTTTTCAGATTATAAAACAAAAATAATTAGATATAAGACTGAAAAAAATTAGATTTAAGACTAATAAAATCTGAAGTGGACGACAATGACTGATGTGGACACTAAGAAATGAAATTATACACATGATTTGTTGTACATCATTAAAATTTATTTTCTTGAATTATTCTAACTTAATTTATCAACTCCTCAAAGCAAACTGCAAATTTTCAAATTAAATATCTCAGTCAATTTTTGTCATATGGGAGTCAAACTTCTTGCATTTTATTTTTCCTACTGAAAATAAAACTTTCCCCAATATAAGTACAGGAACTGGGAGACCACATAAAAAATTAGATTGTGTTATTTGTCCAAAATTAATTCTTTTCTTAAATTTGACAATGACAAAAACATGAATATTTTCATCATTTAAAACACTTTTGTAATTGGAAGTATATGACTACAACCAATGACTGCAAAAATAAAGGCTGAGTATGGGTTGTAAATTCCAGTACCAAAGTGTATATATATACAATCAAAAGTCATTAATTCGGACTCGTCGGGACTTCGGCGATTCCGGATTATAGATCACCAGCTTAAATCTGGTAAATGGCATGCAGAAGAAACTATAAAATTAAAAATATGAAAAACTGTAATTTATGAATAAAGACAATTATGATCTAAAGGGTATCAAAATTTATAAAAAAAAAAGATTAATATTTATTTGTTTACTTTATTAAACATTTCTTTCAATGTAAGTTGTTTAAGTTGCTTCATTTTTATGTGATAATATTTTCTCTTTAATTCTATAAACAGACATAATTTCTTCTTCAGTTACAAAGTTCCGCTGTTCAAGTCCTATAATTGCTGTGTCGAAAATACCGACTAACTTGTCAATCGAAATTTTTTCTTTTCAATAACCTCTGTGTCACTTTCTTCATATCGGAAGCAAATTAAATGACGAGGAATTTGATTTAAATCATATCAAAGACGAGTACATCGATGAAATACTAAATTTAGTAAGGAATTATAAGCCAACTAAATAAAAAACATCTGCTCTGGAGATAAGGATAGTCTGACAGATCAACTTCTAATTTGCGCGCCGCACCACCGCCAGAGCATGTGAAATTGATAAACAGATTTCGGAATGGTTGAGAAACAAGGATTGCCTTATCATTTTTGCAGCAATTCCACTTTTGTTTGATGGGACATCGACACATACTTTCGCTTTGTAGATCCTTTGGGAGCTCCAGCATCAGAAATTCTATTTGACATAATCGAAAGTTCAAGCTTACTTTTATAAAATTGCTCTAATAATCTGAAAAAAATAATAAGCCGGATCCAATTCGAAGATTAAGGAACAACGCAATCTGCAAAATTAACTGAAATAGATAATTAGATAATTTTAGCTTATACAGTCCATTATACATTAAACGCGCATGCGGAAACGTATTATGCGCATGTGCACACGCATATGCACAGACGTAAAGGTCTTACGCGCATGCGTAAACGTATTATGTGCATGTGCACACGCATATGCACATCCGTAAAGGTCTTACGCGCATGCGTAAACGCCTATGTGCATGTGTGAACGTGACACATGCACAGAAAGTTTGTAGCTTTGGGAAATGGGACTTAAGTGACTACTGCAAATTAAATTTTGAATTATCTTACCTATATCAATACATATAAATGATAAAAGTATATAAAATATCATGGAAGCTTCACTATACATACGTAGGTTGATCCAAAAAAAAGTTTACAAGCAGAAGCATTTAAAATGTAATAATTGTGGAGCGAATATTTGCACCCAGGGTGGTTGACAGATGGCGCTAGTGTCCTACAGCAGTTTCGAGAGTGGCTCAGTACGCAGACATTAAGAGCACATAATGCCATGACACTGAAAAGTGGTCTTGCATAGAGGTCGAGCTGTATTCGATTCTTATGGGCAAGAATGTGGCCGCATCCGAAATTCACAGACAAATTGTTGAGGTATACGGGGACAAAGAATGAGTAGCCAACAGGTAGCGAAATGGGTCGTTTCTTATCAAGTGGGCAGGGAGCATGTGGAAAGCGCAATATGGAAGGAGCGGAGGTCCAAGGTCCAAGGACGGATATCAGCACGGCAGTGTTGAAAAATATCCAAAGGGATCGACGATAACCATGTGTGAGATTGCCTCAGAGTTGGACCTGATCTGGTAAGTTCAGCGTACGAACTGTGAGTTGCGATATTCCAAGTTTGTGCCCGGGGTTCCACGCGTTGCCACGGAGCATAAGGGCCACTAATGATGTGCAGCTCACATTTTTTCAGCGATACCATTCAGACGACCATACTTCATTGATTGCATCGTTACCAGTGAAGAAACATGGCTTCATCACTTCAACCCCTTCATCCCAAAGAGCCACGATGAATGGAAACCGGGATACCGCCGAGGAAGAAGTTTAAGGAACACCCTCTGCCGGTAAAGTGATGGCAACCGTTTTTTGGGATACGACTGGTGTTATCCTAATCGAGTATTTGGAGCGTGGCCAAACCATAAGGGCGATTGTTATGCCACCTTAACGAAATGCGTAAAGCATCGACGACGCAAACGGCGTGGATTACTGAGCAAAGGCATCATTCTTCTGGATGACAATGCCAGGCCCCATACAACTCGCCAGACTCAGGAAGTGCTGCAAAGGTTCAAGTGGGAGGTCTAGAATCACCCCCCATACAGCCCCGATTTGGCTCCCAAGGCTATTTCATTTTTCCGGCATTGAAGTGATACTTATCTGGAACACGGTTCACCTCAGATGATGCAGTGAAAACAGCTGCCGAGAAATGGCTCAATGTGCAGGGCCCTGATTACTACCAAGATGGGATAAACAAGTTGGTTGAACGTTCTGACAAACGCCTAAACAGGTTTGGCGACTATGTGGAAAAGTGAAGGCCAGATGTGTCTCTTGATTCCCATTTGTATCTTGTTTCTATTGTGAATAAATACTTTTTCATTTGCCTAGTAAACTTTTTTTTTAATCACCCCTCGTATAATTGTTTACAAGTTGGTTGGTTGGTTATTTGAATATGGCAAAGCATACATAGGCTATCTGACTAAAAAAGGGATATGTTTTAACTGAGGACTTTCTATGGGAAACTGGCTCATATTCACATCACAAATGAGAAAAATCCACAAAAACCAAACATGCCAACCATCAGCCCATTTGCTGGGATCAAACCCAGGTCTTCAGTGGTTTTAATCACTTTGCCACTGGTGAGCTAGTAATTGTTTACTAATGCTCTTCTGGGCGATATAATGTTAACCAAACATCTGGGCTTAAGATTCAAATCCTAAATAAAGCATACAGATATGTTACTGCACAGTGACTTTGGAACAGAAGGCAACTTCTCAGTTCATGCATTAAAAGTGAAAAAAATTATTTGGACTGTATATTTATTTTATAATTCTATATCCAATTCTGTATTTCTAATTTATATCAGCAATTTTTTAGTTAATTATGGCATTCAAAGGCTACCTTACTTAAAGAAAATAACTTCTTTCTAAGGGAATCTGGTGAAATAAGGGAAACTGAATTATTATTAATTTCCCTACAAGCGAAACTGAATTATTTACATTATACCTATAAACCTATACCTATTTACATTATACCATGAAAATGCCTTTCAACCTTTGAAAGTTTAATTCAAAATGAACTAACTGCCAATGTTCTTTAACTTTGACTATTTAGCCTAGAGGTCAATGATTTCAGTAAAAATCACATTTCCGACATAGTAACACATTGCAATTGGATGACTCTCCATTGATGTCACACAGAAAGGTTAAATGCTGGTCTCACCACACTCCTACCATTCACAAAGTGGTAGGCAAATGCCGATGCTACCACACTACTGTTGTGTGCTATTCCCCAAACAAAGTTAATGTCACCAAGTTGCTGTCATCTGCCAAACAATGTAATGCAAGCCAGTATTATCAAATGATATAGTTTTGATCAAATTTTGACGTCATATGCAAAACTAGTAGAACATTTTTTGTATATCCGAATTTCCAATGTCTAATTTTTAATAAATAATTTAAGAAGTTAAACCCCAAGCTAATGATAAAGCATGAAAGAAATATATTTTTAAAGATGAATGCACTGAAAATTTATCAGATGTTTCAACTGAATTCAAAGATGATGTTTAGAGGAAGACTTAAGCAGAACTTTCAAACTCATTTTAAATTTTGCTCATGGGAACAAACAAATAAATCCTGCCATTATAAAATGTATGAAAAATTAAAATGATGATATCGATATTGGTGGCAGATAAAAAAAAATTGTATCGCAAAAACAAATCAAAGTGTTCGGAAATTTCACCTATGTCTCATTTAATACCACATAAACATGATTTCAAGATCTAGTTTAACAGTATATGATTATCTATCTACTCACTGGCAATAGCATGACTGAATAATTGAAAAGGTACATACATTTTTTCGTTCTTTTGATCGCTTCTTCTTTTCTTCTTCAGACGTTAACTGCGCATGAACTTTTGACAACCTTTTGCTGTGCCTTATCTACACAGATAAAACGAAAGGCATATAATTTTAACAACAAAATTTTTCTGTTGTCATTAAACTAATAATAAACTACACTTAAAAATAAAACAAAAACGTTAATCTTTCATTTAATTTCCACACTTTACTTCCGGACAGTGTAGTAATAAGGACTGAAAATTCAGTGTTCAATTCAACTTGGAAAAGTAATAAGAAGCACTACTGTAAGGCAGATATGCTAAAATGTAAGTTGTACAAATCTTCTCAGATTACAATAGGGCTAAAACGTTAAACTAGGTTTTTTATCAGATTTCTGAACAGGTACAGGAATAGTACAATACAGAGTTTTAGGTAATAACAAAAATAATTATATAATTCAAAAAACAATAATTGAAATACATGCCTGTCAACAGCCATTAACAATTGTAAATAGCAAGACATTTGAGGAAATAGCACTACATCCCATTTCAATTTTTTGCTATATTGCAGCTAAATTTGGTAGCATGTTTCACATATACCTTATATGCGAAAATGCTAAACAAAAAAATCCAGAGCTTTTAACTAAAATGGTAACTAGAATTTCTAAACTACCAGATAGTAAAATTTGTACTCTAACATTTACATGGTAATAAAAAGAAACTTCATCCAGCTGAAAACAATAGTCTGCAGAGAGTGAATCAAAAAGCATATACATATTTCCTGAATATTTCATATTAATTCCTGAATATTTTGTATTAATTCCTGAATATCTCGTATTAATTCCTAAATATCTCATAATAATTCCCGAATATCTTGTATTAAGAGTAATTAAGAAATAACTGAACTGCATTCCTTTTACCAGAAAATTCTTATTGCTTGGGAGCAACTTCTCCCCCATAAATTTCACTTGCATACGAGTTTACAGTTAAGGCTTTCTGACAAATCTGTCACTTTGTAATAAAATTAGTAAAATAAAAATATGTTTTATTTCCTATAATTATTATAAAAGCATTGAAATAATTTAAGAAACAACAAACAAGAATTTTCTTCCTCCAATCTGAAAATATAACTTTAATGTTGCAATAAAATATGACTGCTAAAACTGCTTCACTGTAGAATAAATATGCATATAAGATTATTTACTGATTTTTAACAAACATAAAATATTTTATTTTAAAAGCTTAAATTTCTATCAAAATGACAACTTTAAAAATTAACATAACATAACTGCTAACAATGAAGGTAACATATTCTTAATAGATAATGCAGCCAAATTTCTTTGTGTCATGTCAAAAAGCAATTTTTTCAAAATAAGAAAAGTTTTTACAATGTTAACTTTATGTTGGAAACTTTGAAGATACAATCTTCTTATAATTTTGTGGGAGAAACTACTAGCCATTTCCTAAATTTTTTTTTAAATAGTATTTTTGCTAGAATCTGTTTTAACACTAAATGTTGGTATCAGTTTACTCCAATCCCCTGACTTACATAACACATAACTTACATAAATTCACAGCTTTGTAAGGGAACAAAAGACATAACATTCAAACTGAAGCATAGCAACAAGAAGTAAGGATTCCATACACAATTTCTCCTTTCTCCAAAAAATGAACTTACCATTATTTTCCCCAAAATGAATGCACCAACTTGCATTTAAACAATATTTATGCAGTTAGCTAAACCACTTGTTTACTGCTGCTAGTGCTCATTACTTATTTATTCTTAAAAATTCATTTGAAATGCAAAATAGAATGTACCAGTCATAAATCTAAAAAACTGCAATTACTTTCAAAGAAAAACTAAAAAATAATTCATTTGCATGAAAATGGGAAAATTATATCAAACCAGCTCCAAACTTTTGACAATGAATGATAATAGTAAAGGATAAAGTCCACGTTGTTGAAAGTATGAAAAGTGTGTTAACATTGAAAGGCATAATCCATTATCAAGGAAAGTCTGTACCTGATTTCAGAAACAGAGAACCTGCTATCTCACACTGGATCGCAGATCTGATACAGAAGAGGATGCCACTGAATTCTCTGATTATCCAGGGAAAGACAAGATCTTTACAAAAGATTTACAACAGAAAGCCAGCATCCGTACACTAAGTGGTTTGAGAATGTTAGCAACCATGTTAATTTTGATATGTTCAGTTGCACGGCCTACTTACAATGATAAAAAGCATATGGTCATAGAATTTACTCCAGACATATTGAGATTCTACTCCATATTTGTAAACTAACAGCTCAAATGACTTAACTTCCTTTAGACTTCAATATTAAGAGAGACAGAAGTTGCCAGAAAACAGCATTTCTCTTCACATTTAATCATCTCCACTGCCAACTCTTCCACTACAGAACCTAATTACATGTCTTAATTTGAAAAGTGTTGTTTCAGTTTATATTCTTTTTGATGATTTTCATGTTTCTAGAGTTTATATTCCAGTAAAGAGTGCTATATGATGTTCCATTTATAAAATAATAGTAGCTAAATAATATACATACATAAAAAATATTACAGCCACACTGAAGCTATTTACAAATTTTATTTATATAAAATTTGAGTTATATAAGTTTTAACTGAACCCATTACTTACATAAATCGTGGATTGTTATATATTTTTAAAGAGATCCAGCCCTTAGTAAGAAAGATTTTTTTTTTTATCACAGTTTTTTTTTTTTTTTTTTTTTTTTTTTTTTTTTTTTTTTTACTTTCTGATATTCACTTACAAAAAATAACAATGCTGAAATTAATACAACATTTTCTCTTAATTTATCAATAAATTTTCAGTGAGTGTAAGCCAGACGAGTCTTTTTTATGTATTTTCCAGAAGTCACCTTTTCTTAAATATACTTATATTCTACAGATATAACTGTAACTGCACAAAAATAACAAGTAAAAACATTATGAGTTAACTCACAGTTGATGCCCTGGACAAGAATGCAAACCACCATTTATCATGCAATTGGCAGTCAATATATTAATATAAATTTAAAACCTGAAAAATACTCCTGAAAGAAAACATTATAAGCAAGTAAACCTCCAAGAGTTATAGATATAAATTCTGCAAAGGATGGCTTTCCATTCATTATATACTAAAATTTTTGCCTGCTTCTGATAGATCTAATTTCCTTATAGCAAAAGCAAAAGAGCCAAGTATAAAATGAGAGGGTCATTTTGAACTAGAACCAAGAAAAATCAATTTTTTATAACATTTTGGAGAACTTTACAGTTTTAGGACTAAATCCATAACACTCAGAGGGTTAGAAAATGTTTTGCAATCTATATACGTATTTATCTAGAATAGTTATGCATGCATATTTTTTTCACAGAATATTATTATATTACTAAACACAATATTGATGAAAATTTCAAACTATTACAGATTTTTGTTCTTCTTTAAGACGTTGCTCTGTTAATTCCCTGGATTTTTTCAAGTTCTCTTTTAATTGTGATGGAACTTTAAAGTGAACTTTCTCAATATCATTTGAGGAATGCATAAAAAACCTAAGAGAAGACATAAACATTCAATATTCTTTGACCATACAAAAATATATCTAAGGACAAATTAAAAACTCATTTTTAACAAAATATAAATTTGCATGTTACTTTACTAATAGCAAAAATTCTCAACAAGTTTCTAATCAAAATATTATAGATATTCTAGACTTCTGAAATATATAGTAAATCAAAAGCATATACTATAAAATTCCTATAATCCACATAAATAAGTCATGCACATTAGAAAAGTTTTTGGATTATATGTGATGCCTTTTTGAGTTTAAGATACATTTTCCCAGTTCTAATTTTTACATTAATAATGCATTGTTTGCATTTATGCAGCTACCAGAACATAGCCATACCTTAAGAATTACTTAACCATACTGTAGATATATGAAACTATACAAAGAAAATAATGTCAGTACAAAAGGAAATTTCATGAAGAGGAAAGGAGTAAATGAGAAAGATGTATTTTGTACAAATAAAGAATACTTTTGTAAAAAATACATAAAAATATTTTATATATGTATAATATTTTTATGTATTTTATTCATACATACATACAAACATACACACACAAACATATATATATATAATATATATGGGATATTTTCCAAGCACAGCCACGATGGCTGGAACGTTCAACAGCTTTCAATGTCCGTCATAGCTATGGTTAAAGTAATGAAGATAACAAAACATGAACTTGAAGAATTTACAGTCTTTACTTTCACATATATCCAATTAATTTTGCAGACACTTATTCAATCATAATTAAATATGGTAAATTTCTAGGTACATTGATTCTAAAAAATTAAGATGCAGGGAAGTGAAGCGAGGAGTTATTAGTAAGGTGGAAGCTAGGAAAAAAGGTGATGCAATTAATTGCCAGAATTTTTTATACCAGAGTAGGTGCGATTCTAGAGATAAGCTATGATTGGCTAGTTATTAATTTTGGTTAGCCTTTTCAAGCAGTGTTACGTAAAACCAAAAAATCTCGAATTTGGTCGTGTCGTTGTCATGCTCAATCGAGCCAAGATGACTGGGGCTGAATATTGTTTACTCACGACTCCAGATACAATCTGAACAGTGATTCTAGATATGGTTTGATCTGGAGAGAGGAAGGAACACACAACCTGCCTTCCCTTGTCTGTGAAATACCTCATTTCTATGCGGTTTAATGATTTGAGGAGGAATCATGACAAATGACCACACTGAATTGCATACCTTTCAAGGAAGTTCTGTAACCGCTCGGAGATATGCGAAGAGGTATTGGAATCCCAAGTCAGACTGTTTAGGGGTGCTGTTGGCCCAGAATGTTTGCTCATGGATGACAATGCTCGGTCTCATTGAGCATATATAGTGTCAGAATACTTGCAAACAAAAGATATCACTCAAATCGACTGGCCCACTCCCTGGCATATAAACAAGGCCCAACTCAGTAATTAGAAATGTTACTACTTAGCCACTAGCAGGTTCTTTAATTTTAAAAGCTAACATAAAATACGTACTAAAGGAAGTATTCATGTAAAATGTAAATTTTCACAGATTTGCTATCCATGCTCATTATAAAAAGAGACTGCCGATGTCCATGGAAAATGGTAAATAACATCAGTAATAGAATAAATCCACTTTTTAAATACAAATATGTTATAAATATAACATTTTTTGTTAAAAGGCATATTAATCATGAAAAAAATCACAATTAAACTTTTCAGGCTGTGTTTCCTGAAAAATGGAATTTTGTTTACTCATATGCAAAAATGAACGCAGAGATATTTGCCGGTTGTTGCAATTTTGCTGCATTACATAGGACTAGATAGTAATAATTTGGATGCATTATGTATTATTAAAAATTTAACACGGAAGAATTCACAATCTTCTGTGTTAAATTTTTAAGGTCTTCAATAAGTATTTAGTGAAAATGTTCTAGAGTAAATAATAATTTAAAATGGTATTCAGCCAGTAATGGTTCAGTGGGAGCACATTCCAAAATAGTTTTAGTTTGAAGAATCGGTTATTAAAATAAAAATGTAACATCTCTTTAAGCCTATTTGATTAGTAAAGATAATTCATGCTATACTATATATAGTTGGTTGTTAAATTAGATTATTTGAATATGGCAAAGTACATGAAGACAGTCTGCATGAAAGGAAGGATGCCTTCATGGAGGGTAGTCTAAGAGAAACTGGCTTGTATTCAAATTACACACGGGGAAACCCACGAAAACCAACCATAGCATGGCCTGTGTTGCATGTCCTATGCTGCCAAAATGTAGAGCATATGGTTTGTAATTCACATGGCTGTTGATTTATAATGTCTTTAATATTAGTAAAATGTCTTACAAAAATAAAGTATGTAAGACTAAATATGAAAAGAATCATTACCACATTTCTGCCATGACAGCTGAGTGATGATTGAAAGAAGAATTTCATTCTAGAGTTAATGTAGAAGAAATTTTGATTTAAGATATGGAACTGAAATGAAGATCATCCTTCCCACAGAAAAGTCCATTTATCTACCATAACCAAAAACGTTCACTGGCTGCAAAATAATGCTCAAGTTGATCCAAATCTATTTATTCAACATTAAGATAATTGTTCAAAAAGAATACGACCTTGTCAGTCGGATTATAAAAGTAAAGTGGGTCTTCTATCTTAATAATGCGACTATGGTTGCCCTATTCACCACATTCCAATCTTTAGTAACCAATAACATAATAGCTATCCTTTATCCTTCTTATTCAACAAATTTTTTTTTTCCTAAATAAAAACTAATCTAAAAAGGAGGAAATTGGATTCCATAAATGAGGTACTAGAAGACTTATAGGTAGTATTCAAAAAAGATATTTCTACAAGAAGACCTGATCATGAAATATGTGTTGCATGTTACCTTCATTCCAGTACCAAGTTCTTCAAAAGTGAAGGAGAATAAGATGTTAGATAAGGTAGTATTTAAAACAAATTATAGATTTCCCAAATGTTTGATTAGTTTCTCATATGGAATCAAACTGCTTACTACTTAACTATAAATATAAAACAATTCATTCCATGAAAAAAAAAAAAAAAAAAAAAAAAAAAAACTTTAAATAAAATACTTAAAAAGAACTTTATAATGCAAAACAAATTATTCTGAAAGATTACTCATAATTTATAGAAGAACATTTACATTTTTTACAAAATAAAAATGAATGAATTGCTCACGGATGCTGAAGGAGGTCCGTGATGGTTGGAATTCCCTTTTTTAATGCATCTTTTGATAAAATAGCTTCTATGAGAGAACCTAAGGAGGAGAAAAAACTAATTTAATACAAAAATTAAGATAAAAATTGCTTTTCTTGAGACCTTCATTTTGGTAGGATAAAAATACCTATGCTTTGTACTGTATATAATTATACACAATTTCTACAAATCTCCTATTCTACCAAAAAAAAAAAAGTTTGCTTTTAATAATTACACTTAAATTTTGAACATTACTATGGAGCACACGCACAAACATGCATAAAACAGATGGCTGAATATTATAAATATGAAATTAATATTTACCTAAATACTCTTTTTTCTTTAACATAAGCTAAACTTTTTAAGCAGAAAATGATTCTGGAGGACATTTTTCTAAAGCAAATAATTCCACAAATACAGATGTCTACAAAAATAATGCATAATTTTGAATTTTGAAATAAAACTTTTAGATTTTAAACTTATTTCCTCTGCAATTTCAGTGCTCATGATTTCATTTTATACACACTATAAAAATAGTAGTGTTTTACAACCTTACTGCAGTAAAAAGAACAGTATTTAAGTGTCTAAATACCACAGCTTTCTTTAAAATTACCTTTCCCTTTTACAAAATGCATAATTTCTAATTACCTTTCCCTTTTACAAAGTCACATATTTGACAGAATTTTTTTACATATCAAAAGCACTAAGTAATATTTAGGCAATACTCACGTAATTCAGAAGGACAGTTTTGAGGAAGAGTGTCACAAGTAGGTGAACTGAGAGGTATACCAAGCGCCATTTCATATAAGAGATGACCAAAGCAATAAATATCTATATTTTCCACAGTCTGCAAGGTATTTTAGAAAAATTATCTGTCAGTGTAAAATACATAATAATGTGCATTTTTCATTAAGTATGGAAATTTTCAAATATTCATATAAACTTTTGTATCTTAACCCATTACACACACATGTACCATAATCACTTGTAAATTATTCAGAAAAATAATTGTAAAAAATCACATTCAATGACTTTTCATAAAACTAAACTGTACCTGCTATCATTTGGATTATTTATCTTTTGACAAAGTATGCAATGGTTTCTGTATATTAAGCCTACCTAACTGGCCAATTTCCTGGACACACATGACCAAAAGATTAAATCACTACAATATTTCACTCAGGTAGTCTATATTTTTGGATACTCTTTGGATTATTGGCAATTTGTTGTTTCATTTAAGGTAATCTGAGTATTTTATGGTGTGCACATTAGAAACCCTATCATGTGATTGGTGGCAATGCGTGATCACGCTGAATTTGAATTGTTGGGAGAATATTTCTCAGGGCTTATTTCTGCACTTGATGTCGGTTAGGAAGTACATTGCCTACTTTGCTCTTTACATCATAAAATGGCTGATAAGATTAACCTGAAGTTTCTGTATGATTTGGAACAAATGGGAAAGAAAGCACTGATTGATTAGTGTGTAAATGAAGGTTTAATCAGTAATCGGTATAAATGTCTTGTTTGTATGAAGGAAATGTGTATGGTTAAATGCAAAGATAATTCAGATGGCTTTCAACGGTTTGTCGTGAGAAAGGTTCAGATGCTCACTATATATAGCATTTCATTAGACTACGGAGGATATTTTTTATTCTTACTTTTGAGAATTTATGTGGGGACAGCAGGATACAGATTTTAGTTCAGATGATTTTAAACAGTTTTTGGATGCTGTTAAGGAATTCTGTGTGCTATAAGCTGAAGATACAGAAATTTCTAAATAAGGTTAGTCAATATTTCCTTTTTGTACTGTGTTGATTAGATAACATGTATTTCCATTTTTATGTTATTTTCTAGTTTTATTTTGATTTGAAATGCAGTTTATTGATATTATAATTATTTTATGTTTTAATTATGTTTTCTTGCATTATGTTTTTTATGCCATTTTACTTGGAAGGGCACTGCACGTAAACAGGAATGGCGCCAAAAAAATTGCCAATTTTCACCAAGGGGGACCCTGAAATATCTTTTTCTATTTGGCTCTTCCTTATTATTATGGCTTCCATCATTTGTACAGCAGCAAAAGCTTTCTTGTTAATGGAATGCACCAAACCGACAACTCCACTCGGAGATCTTATGAACACTGAGCTGAAAGTGACTATAGTTAAGGATCACAACCATTTGGTGATGCTTTGTGAAGAGCTCTGAATAGGTTGCCAGTTTAATGCAGATTCATTAACAAGAGGGCTCTTGGCATTGTTTAAATAATGGAGGCCACAATAATAAAGATGTACCAAATATTTTAATATAAACATAAATTTTCAGATGTCATAAAAATTATTCTAATTTCGGCTAGCTTCATCATTGGAATTAAATATTTATATTTTTAATTTACAATCCAGGTCTAATATCTAAATTCTGATATTTTTAATTCACAAACCAATCAAGCTAATTTCTACAATCCATCTCCTAATCTCTATTTATAATAGATTAACTCGAAATCTATGATTAATATACTTTTTTAATAATATCTAATGATACTTTTTTAATGTATTAAAAAATAAATATCTACAGATCTATATAAACCTCATCTTCCTACACTATAATAAAATTCTCACATATATTATGTTACATGTATTGATTAAGTGACTGATGTTAGCTACTGCTCTGCCAAAAATCATTATGCAGTATGCCATAAGTTAAAAAAAAAATTACTTCTCTAATGGTATTTTTGATACTTAAATTACAATAGATCATGAACGATACACATAAAGATAAATTTTGACTAACATAGTTAAATTTTTCAAATGTAAATAAAATAAAACATAATTATTTAAAAAAAATTTTTTTAATTACAGGCTTTTGTTACCTGAATTTTCTTAATTTGAGTAAAATAGGGCCTTAAATAAGAGCTGACGCCTAAGATGCCATTCAATACATCTAAAAGCTTGCATTTTCCATCAACTACAGCCACATTTCCAGATTGCAAACTACCTGAAATGAATATATTAAAATGGTCAATCACTATTTTATCAATGATGATACAATGTTTCTAACAAATACAATCTGTAAGGAACTTGATGAAAACAAACTACATATATATGAGTTGGAATTTTAATAATGGCAATAGAGTTGTTATATCCCATGAAATGTAACCAGCATTTCTTGGTTTACACAAAACATTAATCTGATGTCAACTTATCTCTATTTCACTACAAAAATGGACTTTACCCTCTTACATGATGTGCATGCAACATGACAAAATGGAATCTTGTGTGAAGTGGCAGACTAAAGTTGGTTTCATGAAGTTCTTGAATAATGGAATAATGGAACTATACAAAAGTCAATGACGCCTGTGGCTATACAGAGCAGAAGTATCATCAAAATCTTTATCAGGCATGTGGAAAATCTGTAATACCTTACAGAAAAATGGCACAATGAGTTGTAACAGTTTGTTGTAACGCACAATAGGTTGTAACAGTTTTCAGTGGAACATGCCAAAATGTAGTAGACATGCCTCAGACAGGTTGTCCTCCCATTGATAAAAAGGAAATACAGGCTATTGGTGTATTGCTGAAAAATAGCTTGGCACCATATAATTGATGAATTAGCCTGAGAAATAGAATTAATGCATATGACTGCGCTTCATATTATAACAGAATACTGTGCGCATGAAAAACTACAAAAATGAAGAAATAGCTATGCTATGTTGCTATTTTTTCAAACAAATAAATAAATCTATTTACAGAGTTATAAGTGTGAAGAAGATGCTTCTCATAATTATGCTGGATGAAACCATATGCTACAAAAGCCAATACTGACATACCAACTGAAGAAATGGCATTACTTTGCATCTCTATGGGAATCTTAATGCTCATCACATCATCAGAGCTCAGAGAGCTTTCAGCTATATGTAGTTACGTTTGTTCTCATACACAGGATCAATTGCTTGTGATTCTTCTCATATACCAGGTGCGGTATAAAAAACTTCTCCAATATATGAAGCCTTAGCGACCTATCTGCTCAACAAATTGAAATACTATTTCAGATATTGTTATTTGAAGGTATGCAGTCGAGATTGTAATGATTTAAAAAATAGAGCTCTCACTGTTAAGGTCACAGTGAAAAAAAATTTATATTTTCGAATGGCAACACCCACTTTTTTCCTGCTCAAATTGATCATAATGATCTCCATCAGTTGCACTACAGCCTATGACAGGCCAAGGCCATCTCAAGTAAACTTCCTCCAACGGATTCGATTAGTCGTTATGGTCCGCCAATGATTGATTTTTAAAGTCTTGAGATCTGCCACTACACAGTCTATCCATCTTGTATGAGATCTCCCTCTTTTCCTGGTACCCACTACACTTGCAAAGATCACCCTTTTAACAGGGTTCAAGTTGTCACATCTAAAAATATGTCTAAGCCACCTGATACAATAAGATTTGATGACTTGAACAATATTAGGTTGTTTGTATCTTCTATATAATCCGTGATTAAACAAAATTCTCCATATATTATTTTCTCTAGCTGGACCATATATTTTTCGCAGTATTTTTCTTTCAAAGATCAGAAGTCTTTCTTCATCTGTTTTTCATTAATGGCCAGCATTTACCAGCATACAATATGATAGGTCTAGTAAGAATTGTATAATTTGTTTTTATTTTAGAACCTAACAAATTCTTTAAACCATGATAGCATCTATTAGATCTAAATAATCCATTGTTGGTTTCAAGTTTAACATTGTTATCATTATGGATGATAGTACAGAGATATGTAAACTGAGAAACGCCCTCAAAAGTATAAGAATTTATTTGCAGTGGGAAAGGATTATGCATTCTGCTAATTACTGCCAGAAATTTTGCTTTGCACTCATTAATGGTTACTCCAATGTCGGGCTGCAGACTAGAGAAATAAAAGTCTCCACAACCACCTGTTTATTTATACCAATAATGATGATGTCATCAGCATACGCTAGTAATTGTACAGATCTCTGAAATATGGTACCTCTAGTTATACTTCTGGCATCTCTAACAGCTTTTTCAAGGCTGATATTAAAATTCATGCATGCAAGGGCATCACCTTGTCTCACCCCCCTTTCAGTGTAGAATGCCTTTGATAGATCAGACATGATTTTAACTCTGCAGTTTACTCTTTTTAAAGTTATTCTACACAGATCAATCAATTTCCTAGGAAATTTAAATTCCAGCGTAGCTTCAAACAGCTTTTCATGGTATATGCTATCATAAGCAGCTATAAAAAGATGAAAGAAATCTTTAAAAAAGCTATCAATATGATGTTCAATTGTGTTTTCCAAACTTTGTCTAACAGATTAAATTTGATGTAGAGTAGATTTTCTAGCTTGAAATCCACATAATACACATCCACCTAATAACTGTAAATGCATACAGTAATAACCTATTATATAAAATATAGCAGAAGATTTTAAATGCCACATTTAAGAGGGTGATACCTTGATAGTTGCTACATTCCAGGCGGTCGTTTTTAAAAATGGGACATATGGAGCCCACTTCCCATTCAATGGGCATACTCAAATTGATCAGCACACTGAAAAACCCATAAATGGCATTGGAACAATACACATATGATGAAAATAGCCAGCACAAAACATTTGCAAAGAACAGCATTATAAAGGACCAGTGACAACACTAGAGAGGAGAGGGGAAAATCTTTTATTGGAATTACAAGTTTTTAACACAGCCACTTTTTCAGACGATAATGGACTGCATCTGGGAGAGTATTGGCAACAACGACAAACATTACGTTGCAGGAGAAATCTCTATAGCTGCATGTTTTATGGCATTTTGCGATTCTGACAAATTTTGTGGATTTGATGTGTATACTTAAAATTTTAGATAAACCCAGAGCCAGAAATCCACTGAAATGAGGTCAGGATCACAATTACCATGAAACTGTAAAGTTACCGGAAATGACTCTATCTCCGAACTGTTACTGTAGAACATGCCAAACACAGGAGGGTCACACATGTAGAAGCACTGTCTTGCATCCGTACAATGTCATTAACAGCATTGTATGGATGCTGCAATTCTGGAACTACATAATTCTACAACATTGTTCTATACTGAGCACTTGTGATGGAGCACATTTTCCTATCTGTCAGAGCGACCTCTTTGAAGAAGTACAAACCAAGAACAGATGTGTTTGATGCTACATCACACAATCACTTTAGCTTAGTGTAAAGGTGCTAGTGTCATATTCTAAGGATTTACTTCAGTCCAGTAAATGAAGTTGATGGAAGTTTGTGTTTCCAGTTAAAGACAAATGCACCTCATTTGTCCATGTATCTACAGCAGCAACCTACAGTGGCATAGCTAGGGTGGGGCAAGGGGGTACATCTGTCCCCAACGCGCAGTATCCAAAGGGCGCCAAATTCATGCTACAAAATTTTTTAATGAAATGTTTTCTACTTCTGGCACGCAGAAAGGGGCGCAAATTCTTCAGTTGTCCTCGGGCACTGGAAACTCTAGCTACGCCCCTGGCAACCTACTATCTTCATCATATCTGATCAGGAAAAAATTTGCACGCTGTTGCTCATCTCCAGGTTACAAAATCTGGCCATGCCAGAATCAATATGAAACATATGTAGAAAATTAGGTAGCAGATTGAAAACTATGGTTTTGGGCACATCCAAACTGCGGGCAACACTTCTTGCAGTATGCAATGGATCTGCAGTAAGTAATCATATTATGCACTTCCTCAACAACTTCAACAAGAACATAAGGTCATCCAGATCATGATCTATCACATGTGTATCCATTCCCCCCCCCCAAATCATACACAGTTTTATGGGACATGGTCTCAGCTTATGAATTTCTCAATACACTCACACTCCTTCTGCAACATTTTTCTTGATCAGATAAAATAGCTTTATCAATTCACCTCTTGTTTCCCTGTAAGTGTCATCTTGTTAGCCCATTCAAACACCTGATAGCAGAAACAACCTTCCCATTCTGCTTATTAAAGGCTTTCCACAAGCAATACTTTGCATACAGTGTTTTATGATTGGTGCTTCTATTGTCTATCCCTATAAATTATGCATAAGTGCATCTGTATTGTCAATAGTCTTTTATAATGCTCTTCTTTGCAAATGATTTACAACACAATTTTCATCATGTGTGCATCACTCAAAAAACATTTATAATTTTTCAATGCACTGATCAATTTGCACAGCAAAAAGTTGGTGTTGCCAATCGAAAATTTCAAAATTTTTTCACTGTAACCACAATTATGAGAACTCTATTGTTTTACATTATCACAATCTGCAGTGCTTACCTTCAAATAACAATATCTGAAATTTCATTTTGATTGGTTGAGCAGATAGGCCACTAAGGTTTCGTATACTGGTGAAGTTTTTTATGACCATCCTGTATATCAGCAGTATGAAGTTACAGTGATGGCAATATCCTAATGCACATACTATCCAAAGACAGACTATCAATGCGCAGAACTACAGTTCATTTTTAGAACATAACTTGTGAAAAGTTTCGCAAAAGCAGCAGCAACATTTTCAGTACTCTTCTGCTATTGGGACCAGATACAGAACTGAATGCATGTAAAGATGTATGTGTTCATGTATATATGTACATATGTATGTATGTTATGTGTGTGTGTACACACACAGACACATGTATGCACATACATACATACACATGCATACATATACACATTTCTGATTTTAAAGTAACTTGAATGTAAATTGTTAAAAATGTTTAACGGGGACTTGAATTAAATCATGAATAACAAAATTTCAATTGTAAAAAGAAATAAATTAAAATCAAGTAATTAAATTAAATGCAAGTAATCATTGCCATTGATCGGAAATTAGTTGACTTTTCAAGGGGAACAAACCAACTCCTGTTCAATGAACAATAATTAAGAAATAAATACAAACGTGTTTTGTCCTTTACTCGAGCAATAAGTCGATGCCAAACCAGCAATTCAAGCTAGGCCAAACATTTCCTTGAATAGAAGGGATTAAGAACCAATGCAGAGAACCAAAGAACTCATTCTGATTAAGCATTTTAGCTAATTCAATTTTGAGTAAAATTGATAGCAATTTCTGCAGTAAAATTGATATCGCTCGAGTAATTGTCCCACAACACCCTCGTGTTTATGCATTTTAGTTCAAAACTTTTTGTAAAAATTAAACATTGGAAATTGTCATTATTTTGCAAAAAAAAAATCAAAAATAAAAATAAAAATTTTTTAAAAATATATAATAAGAAAAGGGACTGTACATGAAGGTATAAAGGCCAGAAAAATCATTAATTAACTTACGTTCTTTCTAGTGGGGAGTGGGCAAAGTGTTCTCTTCACATCTGACTCAGAAGTGTTGTGTTTCAGAAATTCTTTATTGGCAGCGGGGGCTTTGAATTATATCAGTCAGTAAGACTTGTGTGAAGTAATTTATGGTAGTGGGAGGGATTAGGAATTCTTGAGGGACGTATGTTGTGGAGCTCTTATTTGAGTGAAACCGTCTGTTAAAATATTTTTGAAAATACTAGTGAATGGAAATTAATTCATTTCTGGCTAATTGTCATGTCATAACGATTAAGAAATTAAGAAAAGGAAAAAAGGAATTTTCACTGTCAGAGAGCTATTTGACAGACTAAAGATTATGAAATAGGCCCATTTTTTTAGTAACAGCATAAGTCTGAAGACAATTAGCTTTTTACATTATATACAGCTTAGTAATTACACTATGTACAAATCCTTCAACTGATAGTAATCCAACTTATACCGCCTTCTCAGGTTTAGGAACAAATTATCATATCCCTATCAGTTAAATGATTTAGAGTGAGTATTTAATGCCTGCTCTTTTAAGTCAATGGTTAATAAATTGATTGGGTATTAGATTATTTTTGAGAATTTTAATAAGGAGCAAAATTTCGTGTTAAAGATCTATCATATCTCTGCAGATATTTTTAATTCGTTGTATTTGATTTATTATTGTATTGTTAATTACTTTTTTGGATATGTTGAAATTCCAATTTATTAATTTGTTAGTATTGAAATTAAAGTTTCTTGTTTTGTCAAAAAGTAAAATTTTTTTGTAGTTAATGATTTGAAGATCTAGATAGTCTATGCTATTTTGTGAATTATTAGTTTTATTAAATGTAAGACAATTTGGATAAATCTTGGAGTGTTCAATTTTATTAAAATTTTTAATTGTAATAAGGTCATAAACATATCTGTAAGTGTACTTGTAGTAATTTAATTCTTGTGGTTGTAGATTTTTTTGGAAGTTAAATTCTTTGATAAATAAAAAGATATTACAGAGTGAGGTACTGGAATGAGATCCCATTGGTAGACCTCTGACTTGTTTAAAAAGTTGATTTTGCAATTTGATGTAGTTATGAAAAAGTGTGCATTTTAGGTAGGTTTTCTATTTGTTAAGATTCATAATCGTGAGCATATCAGGGAAGAGTTTAGGAAGATCTAGTAGACTAGTATAGATTTCTTCTAGAGGAAGTGAGGTATATAAGTTTTCAAAGTCATAGCAGTTAATGTTCTGTATGTTAATTGTTTGAATGGCATTAATGACAGGAGTGTTATTATTATTGATCCAGCAATAGTTATGATTAGTGTTACAATAGTTGAAAATAAATTTACAGATTTTTTTAAGTTGAATTGAAAAATAATACTCTACATTTTTCTTGTAATTATTAGTTCCATTTGCTATAAATCTGAATTTTAATGGCGTTTTATGGAATTTGGGAAGAGCATATACTTTAGTAAATTGGTTGTAGCTTGGATTTAAAGTAATATTTAGTTCTTTATGAAAAGTTTTAACTCTGTTTATTATAGATGTTTCTATAAGGTTGGCTAATTGATAAGTAGTTGCATTGAAAAGTTCTTTATGAATAATTTCTGCGTAGAATTGTTTTCATATAATGCTAAAGTTATTACATCTATTTTTGTAATAGTAAAAAGTTTTTTTTAATTTTTTAATATCTGATGTAAGTTGCGACCAATTCAATGTACTTTTAAACTTGAGGTGATTGATTTTGGTGGATATGCGTTAATACATACATACACACAATTACCTGAAAATCTGAAATCTATGAAAAAATATTAAACTTTTATAAGGATATTAAACTTAAAGCTTGGTGTTGCATTAATAAGTTTAGCAACAGCTTAGTTTTACCAAGTGCAGAATAATTCATCACATATAAATTAATTTATAATTATACTGATAAGCTTTCTAGAGACTGAAAGTATGTTTCAATATATAAAACTTTTCAGCAATGCTCCTGTTCTATTACCACACTGAAATTTAATAAAAATAATAATATATAAAAATATGAATAAGAAATGTTATTTATTCACCATGATAAAATCCTCTGTCATGCAGAAATTTCAAAGTCAACAATATCTGACCACCATACGTTCGTATTTTTTGAGGTTCTAATGTAGCATAAGATTTGGGATTGCCATATTTTTTTAGATAGTGCACTCGTGGTTTTGTCTAAAAAGTAAGTATTTTAATTATAATCAAGCTAGAAATATCAAAATTAAATCATTTTTATGAACTTACATTAAAAATAATAAGAAATACATATATATAAATGTTTATTCTGTAAAAGTGTTATGTTTCTAACAAAGAACTTAATTCGTAATTTAAAGATTTAATTTTTGCCATAATTAAGATATCAATTTTCTCACATTGATAAAACTGTAAAAAACATAATACTTTAGAACTTATTAAATAGTTTTTATTAATTCATTTTATTAATTTTTATTAAACATATTTTATTTAGAAAACAAAATAAAATATACAAAAATTAAAATTTATAGATATGATTTAAAATATGAACACAATACCTTGCATAAAAAATCTTTCAGAGATCCATTCTCTAAGAAATCATAAATGACTAGACCACCATTAGCACTAATAGAGCTCATTGATAATGGATATATAAAAGGGTGCTAAAAGATAACATTTTTATTAAAATCACAATAAATTACAATTTAAAGCAATAAAAAAATCTCTGCAAGGAAAATGATATTTAATACTTATTAAAAGAAGAAAAGGATGGAACATACACAAAATATATTGGAAGTTTTAGGTCTAGTTAGCTTGAGTGACTGAGACTTCTGAATGGCATGCTTTCCAGCTATTCATGAAATGTTTTATTTACACAAAACTTAATTTTTTAACTTACTTTAGTTTCTTTTAATGAAACTAAATTCAAATAAACTGTATTTCAGACAAATTCATCAGAGTGAATATGAGTTTTTAACTACAAAAAAGATTGAGCATGTGCCTCAAAGAAAACAACAATGATTTCATCAATCAAAGTAGATGGCTTCTGCTTACTGCTATGGCCTGTGGAAGACATTTTTAATTTGATAAAGAACTGATTTTATACTCCATGGAAGAATGAAAGCTTGAGGCTGTTCAAAAGATCTTCACAGATTCAATAAATGTTTACTCCATTCTTGAAAATATGGAACTAACATTGAAATCAATTTCGCATTTCATTGTCAACTCCTATTTCAATGTCAAAACAAACACCAATCCACCAAAAAATTTATTTTAACTGACAAATCCACAGGCCTATTTGCTAAAGCAGTTTTAAAGGTTTTTTTTTTTTTTTTTTTTTTTTTTTTTTTGGTACTTGTATATTAAAGCAACCATTGTGGAAGAAAATCACCATCTTTGAAATTAATTGCCAACAAATGCAAGATGCATACATAAGTACAATTTTGTTATATTTTACTATTATTTATAATGTTTTTATTATTTTCCTGCATTTCCTGCCCAGCATTTTAGCCCAGAAGGGATATTAATCTTGCACTGATTCACTTTAATTATTGTCCACTGTAAATGCATTGTTTCACTTTTCATTCAAATTTATTCCCATTTGGCAAAATGTAAGATATTATTCTTTCAAACTGAATCTGGCTAATATTGATTAACAAACTATGCTGTTTAAAAGCTGTAGAAACATTGGGTATTTTTTTAAAACAGGAAAGATGAAAAATTTGGAATGCCTTCGCCGGGAATCAAACCACAGACCTCTGGAATACCCACTCAGTGTGCAGACCTCCACATCAAGAAGGCGGAAGAAATACCTTATATACTCTCCCTTTTAAATGGCAACTGGGGTTTTCATGTGACCCAGTCACCAAATCCTGGGTGTGGAGAATCATCATCCACCATTCTTTTAGTTCGGGCACCTCTATAGAGACATTAGGAATTTTTGGAAGCAGGCAAGATGAAAAATTAGCAATGCCTTCGCCAGGAATCGAACCACGGACCTCTGAAACATGTGGCCAGCGTGCAGACCACCACACCAAGAAGGCATGCCAGAGAGGTGGGAGAAATACCTTATATACTCCCCCTTTTAAAGAGCGACTGAGGTTTTGAGAGGACCCAGTCGGCAAATCTGGGTGTGGAGAATCATCATCCACCACCCTTTTAGTTCGGGCGCCACTGTAGAGACATTAGGTATTTTTTCGAAGCAGAAAGATGAAAGATTTGCAACGCCTTCGCCGGGAATCGAACTACGGACCCTCTGGAATATGTACCCAGCATGCAGACCACCACATCATGAAAGCATGCTAAGAACATGGGAGAAATACCTATATAAAGAAACTGATGCAATTCTTAAGAATATAATTATTTTTTAAATTTTCAATCAGAATTAATTTAAATAAAAATATTTTTAACTAATGAAAAGATATTAATTTTTTAAAAATATTAAAAAATTGTATAGTATTATGCTATATATTTTTTCACTTTTGAAATATACAGAAGATACATAATGTCCCCATGTTAGTTTAAATGTACATTCATGTAGTAGCCTAAAATTGTTTCACTATTCCACCTGGGCCATCACTATTGATAAACCTCATTAAACTTTAAAAGAGCCCTTTAAAGGTAACTGTTAAAACATGAGCCCTTTCAGATTCTTTTTACTACTGATTCCCCCCCTTTCTCTTTTCTTTAAATTTCATGCCAAGCATTTTGTACTTGGTAATTCTGGTGGTCAATATAGCATACAGGTCATATAGGTCATTATACCAATTTGTTTTTCATTATAAATTCAAAGCTTTAAGCTTTTACTTATACACAATCACTTAAGAATAAAAATAAAATAAAATTACAGTAAAGCTAATTCAATCCTGATCACATATTCGACAGTTCCTATTTGCCAGGAGCTAAAATTATTTTGTTTAACTTTACTTTGGCTAGCATTATGTCTTATAGGAATACACTCAGAACAATAACTCAGATATCCATGTATTTTTAAAACGGTGATAAATGTTTCATCATTTTTAAACAGAAAACATAAATGTTAACAAACCTGCACATTTCCAAGCAATTTTACAGCAGATGATAGGTCTTTCTCATTTAAATGTATATCAGGCCCCATAGCCATCTAGAACATTTTTAAAAAAATAAAAAAAAAAATCAGTATAAACAAAATTCAAACATTCAATTCTAATCAATGCAATCTAAAAGATTTAATCAGTCAGAGATTAAGATTCAAATATTTAAAGAAAAAAATCTATAATCACATTTATACGCAAATAACTGATGTGAATATTAAAATAACTTTAGACTTTGCACAATGCATGAACTTAAAAAGCATCTGGTGTAAATACACAGGCATCAGATGTTAAAAAAAAAAGTTCCAATGTTGCTTAGAATTTTTAAAAAAATTACCATTTGCTCTAATTCTACTCATAAGGACTATATAACTACAACTTGCAAATTGCTGCTTTTGTATAACATATTTTTCACATCACTATCTCTTAGTTTTCTACAATTATCATTTTCCAAATTTTCCTTCTTGGTTAAAATAATGAGAAAAATTTAACCACATACACTGAATCATGACTTCCCAGTTTATTTTCTTGGACTTAATAAAAGGCTTACATTATTCTGCTCCTCTAAATAGTGATGGGCAACTTCGGTACTTTCTTGTACCCAGTACAAAATACCCGTTACTCAAGTAACCGTTACTTTGAAAAGTACCGAAAACCGATTTCAAATACCGAGTACCCAAGTAACGATTTGGAGTACCGAAGTAACGAAATACCGGAGTAACGGTTTGCTGTACCGGAGTACCCTAGTAATGATTTGAAGTACTGAAGTGCCCTAGTAACGATTTGGAGTACCGAAATACACAACTAACGATTTTGCGCACTGAAGGAACTCTGCCACGTCACCATGTGTTTGATTTTATCTGTACAGAGTAAGATTTTGAATATCAGAAAACATGTCAACTACGGAAGTATCTGAGGAGCAGGAGAGCGCGGCGGGTTGTTTCTGGTGTTGGGTTTGTGTAGATTGTCTTTGATGGCCAGTGGGGGTTAGGAGGATTGGCGCGGGAAGTGGATGGATGGAAACATTTTCGCTTTTCGGTTGTTTCTGTCTTGTGTGCAGGTGCAGCAAAATCGATGGGTGCTCTATCAATTTTTTGAAAGGGGTCGTCCATAAATGATGTCATGCTTGGAGAGGGGGGGGTTAGTGAAATTGTGACAGTTTGTGACAAGGCGGAGGAGGGGGTAACAAGAAGTGTGACATCATATTTTGATTAAAATAAAAATGTTTAAAATCAGCAGACTGAATTTTGAAGTTATTTTAAAATTACCAAAATTTGAAGGTATTTCCTTAATTGGGGCGAAAGCAACTTTCATGTGATTCTTTTTTTTTACTTACATTCCTTTCTTACCAAAAAAAAAAAAAAAAAAAAAAAGGCATTCAGAGTAGGTTTTGAGAATAGGGTAGCGGCAGAAATTGTAATTTTATTCCTATTGTGTATTAATTATGTTTTTTGCTGTAAACTTTTCTCTTATTTCATACAAAATAAGTGCATGAATCATTATTATTGTTATATTTACAAATGTCATTAAAACATATAGTTTAAATTTAAAATAAAGTCTGAAATATGATCTATAGCGTAGTGCTACGTTTTTGAACTGCAAGTATAAGTTTACGTAATATTGCGTGACATGTGACAAAGGGGGGAGGGGTATGTTAAAGTGTGACACTTTGTGACAAAGAGGGGGAGGGGGTGCAAAAGGTTGCAGAAAAGTGTGACATCATTTATGGACAGCCCTAAATGAGCATAGTTGCGTACTTGAAAACGTCGGAAGATTTTCTTTGTATAATATTGAAGGAAGGGAGAGTACACTATGTTTTTTTCGGCTGTGTTGTGTTGTGTTGGATGGAAACAAAGGGAAAAAAAATCGGAAAATAGAAATTTTGATGCAACACTATACTATGAGTAAAAACGTCGCAATAAATTTAAAATAGAAAATTAACTATAACTAGCTGTGTAGCAACCCGATAAGATGCAGTTTCCTAAGTAAATATCAGAAAGTTAATGATCAATCTGTTTTAACATGATATTTTTTATTTATACGCATACATAACATACCACAGAAGTCGTTTAATACCTTCAATTCGGTAGTAAAGGGCATAGGGGTGCATAGGTTCTATAAATTAAAATAATCACAAACCTTTATCCCACTTATAGATAAGATAATGACCTTCAGTACCACTGCGAAATAAAACTTATTCAAGCTACCAAATTTTAAAAAAGATAAATCTCTTATTCTCTACTCTCCCCTATATATATTAAAACTTCTGAATAAAAAAGTAAGATAATTTAAACATTAAATATAACATAAATGACCTTGTGTGTTTAATTGTACAACACTAGCATAAAATAAAATTTACACATTTATTCACATACACATGGTTGAAGAGCTTTTTCACAAAAAAGTTTATACTGTTCCTTTTTAAATTACATTTAGGTTTATTTTAAGTTAAATTTGTACTTTTGGAGATTTGGCACCGTACAATAAACAACAAAATGATTAGAAATATTTTTAAAAACAAAAATATGATTTTAAAAAATGCATAAACATATATATTTGATTTAAACATTTTGAATTACCAAAAGCACTAGAAAATGAGGTATGTTTTGAAAAGTGAGATAATGTAATATATTTGGATGTACTACAGTAATAAGTAAATTTCAGCAAAATGGTTAAAAATATTTTAAAAATGCACAATATGATTTTAAAAGGCACATTCAATATAACAATTTTGAATTGAAGATTATCAAAAAACACTAGAAAATAGATATAGCAAAGGGTTTAAAACTGTGAGAGCGAATACCTGGATGCAGTAACTGCTGTAAACACAAAAATGCAACAGAATGGTAAAAAATATTTTTAAAACTCAAATTACAGCCAAAGTGCATTCGACATAAGAATTTTGAGTGAAAGATTATTAAAAACATTAGGAAATAAGGCAGCATGTCTTTAAAACTACGAGAACGTAATATCTGGATGCTGTAACAGCAGAAGCAACGAAAATATTTGTAAAATCGCATTATATAAATTCAATAAGTACATTCGATATAAAAATTTTAATTAAAGATGATTTAAACACTAGAAAATACGATAGCATGCTTTCAACTATATGAGAACTTAACATATGTGAGTACAGCTAAGTAAATAATAGAACCGTAGAACTTTATTATATTAATAATCTAAAACAATTTCAAAATAATATTTTTTTAAGAAATTGACATTTGAATGAAGTAATATTTCATTTAATTAAAACAAATAAAACTTTGATACGCTGTGCAAAATGTTATAAAAGTATCAAATTTTTTAACTTTATGGAAATTTAAGGCATTTAATTCCTTCTATTTTTTTTTATTTTTTTTTTATAAAGACCACTTAAAATATGTAACGAAAGATTAAGCATAAAAAAATTGACTCTAGAAACAGTTTTGAAAATAATGCAGCGAAAATAAACATAGAAATAAACATTTTAAGCTGAACTTAGGTTGGAATTTTAAGAAGGTCAACAAATGATTAAATATTATAATTGTAATGTAAGAAAATTAGTTGTTTCAACTTTTGTCCACTCAAACGGTTTCGCCGATCATTCAGTATTAATCCAGCATTAGAGAACACCCTTTCGCATGGCACTGAAGTAACCACAAGGCCTAATTTTTTTCGTGATAATTCATACAAATTAGGAGGAAATACATTTTAATTCTTTTCCCACCACTCCAGTGGATCAGATTTCCTGGAAAGAATGGGCTCTTGCAGGTATCTTTTCACTTCTGCCGCAGCTTTGTCGATCGCCGCGTCTGCTCCGGGATCTGATGAAGTTCGAGAGTCTTTACTCTCAAACTCGAACCAAACCGATGATTCGTCTATCTCTTCATCATCCCCTTCCACATCCTCAACAAGATTATGGGTAGTTTGTGCAACTACCGATAACTCACAGATAATATCACTTTCAATTTTTTTGGCAACATCACATTTGAGACCCAATTTTTTTATTCGGAGGTCAAGGAAAGCGGCTTGAGCAATGTCTTCTCTTGAATCGATAGTTACCCAATTCACGTTGTAGTACTAGTACCACATTTTATACTTGTTCATTAACACTTTGACTAAGCAGATTTTCACAGATTTTTTGAAGTCCGCCGATTAACACAGGCGCCATAGATGCTGACAAGCATTTTTCCGAACTCAACTCGCAAGTCACCTTTTCAAAAAGTTTCAAAACGTCACAAAGATGTTGGACACTTTCCCATTCTGGCACATCAAGAGCCTCCGGGGGGTCATTCATCAAACCCATTGTAGAACGAATAGCATCTTTCAGTTTAAGGAAACGTTTTACCATATAAAATGTGCTGTTCCAACGAGTCTTCACATCTAAGACGACTTTTAAGTCTTTTCTCTCCTCGCTAGAGCACAGATATTTTCGCAGATTTTTTGCAGCGATATTATTTCTCCTGTAAACTATCACAATATCCCTAATTTTCGTTAGAAGGTCGTTAACCTCGTTTAGAGAATTTGTGACAGCCAAATTGAGAGAGTGTGCAATGCATCCTAAATGTTTTAACTTTAGTTCGCTGTCGACAGCGTTAATCATATTTTTGGCATTGTCAGTCACTATTAAAGACACTTTTTCCATCGGAAAATATGGTTGGCAAATGTATATGATATTTTCTGCAATATTTTTGGCTGAATGACGTTCATCAAAAATTGAGCAGTCAATCAGTACCGTTTTCCTTTGCATGTGTTTGTCAATAAAATGGCCTGTCACGGCCATGTAACTTTCAGCCTTTTGGTTGCTCCAACAGTCTACAGTCAAACAGATATTTTGTACAGCACTAAAAACGTTTTTTAAACTATTCTTTTTTTCTTCATAAGCAGCAGGAAGCAAGGATTTAGAAACCGTTTTCCGTGAAGGTAAGGAATAAGTTGGATTCAAAGCCTTCGAGTATTCTTGGAATTCCTCATTTTCTACGATACTTATTGGTTGTAAATCCTTATATACCATTTTGATCAGTGCGCGATTGATTACTTCTTTTTTATGTACATCCATCGTACTTCTCTGGACAAACTGCATTATGCTGAACTGGGAATTTTGTGAAAATACACCAATAATATCACAAGCACTGTTGTCTACCGTAAGTTGTGTAGTCTGCTGGGATGTGCATGGTTGCCCACCATCTGCAGGGCTAGTGACGACAGAACAAACTGGAGCGGCATCAATATCATCAACATCTTGATTCGGCAAAGCGCGTTTCTCGTGCAGATTTACACAAGGATGCTTCCTTTGCAAATGTTCTTTTAAATTTCCTGTTGAACTACCTTCGATGGATAAAAGGTCTTTACAAATGTCACACATAACTTTTTCGTCTTTATTAGTATAGGAAAAGTGCTGCCAAACCAAGCTGAATTTCCTTTTCTTACCAGACATTTTATAATTCGATTTTTTTTTTCTGAGGCGTAAGAAACTGATAGAGACTAAGCAATTCTAACGTACCGATACTTACCAGTACGAGATAAGAATGAATCTTATGGGAAAAGTGACGAAGTTGGGAGATGGTCATCAGCATCGTCAGATAAGCATAAAAAAATTCTATTAGCGGCTTCCGCTGTTCACTCCAGCGCAAATTCTAAAATCAGCACTATGCTGTGAAAAGGGTAAGTGCAATATCGCCTAATGATTCTATTATTTAGACATGAAAGAGCAAAAAATTCAAAGGAAAAAAGGGAGGGGCATGTATGTTTACATAAACATGTCCGGATAATTTTCGGTGTTCCATTCGATAGTTTTTCCCCCCTCAAATAAGCTCCAGAGGGAGTTAAAAAAAAAAAAAAAAAAAAAAAAAAAAAAAGAAGAAGATTCGGACTCCCAGGTCAAAGTTCACCTCTCTTCCTATCGGAGGAGCGTCGTCACGTCCTGTGGGGGGTAAAGCAGGCATTGACAATTCTGCGTTAGGCACGTGACCTGGGTTTAGTTTTTGGCGAGATGAAAATCTGTTTTTAGAAGGGGGAAGAATTGTTTTAAGTAGGTCAGTTATCTTTGTTCTTTCATTAGAAAAGTTTAAAATTGCATCTGTATTTTATGTTGATTGACTTAGTGATACACTAGATGCTGTGACATTTTCTGAAGTAGGTACAGCGGGATAAAAAAGTATCATATTTATTTTAAAAGGATCATATGATTTACGTTGCCCTATTAAGCAAGCAAACGAAAAATATTTTTCATGATTTATGCTAAAAATATGTTTGAGAAAAAGGAAGTAATCTAGTTGGTAGTTGATTCCATTCACCAATCCAACAACAGCAACTTACCAAATCAATCATCATTCAGATCCACGATGAAACAGTTTTTTCCTACAAACGATGAAAAATTAAAACATGCACAATTCGGATTGCAAATCATCTAGCGCTCCCCTCCCTTTCCCTCCTGACTATACCGACTCCAATCACAAGCGAGCAATGCCGGCGACAGTGACTCCAACTGCTACTATCCCCCCCAACACACACACACAACGAACGGCCTTTCGAAAAATTTCCACTATTTCACACTCGTCCTCCCGCGCACACAAAGGCAATTAATATACTACTACCTCAAACTCTAGTACTCCGTCACGAACGGAACGGAAGTTCCCCCCTTTCACGTTTGCCATTCCATGCCCTATTTCATGCAAGGTCATTCATGGACACAAGGAGCGCATATCACCATTTCGCAAATACAACCAGATACTACTGTCCTCGTACCAAATCCGAAGTGAGCTGAACCCTCATCGATCCTCCAGTAACGAATACTGAAATACGGAGAAGAGACGCATATTTTCGTTACAAAGTAGCGAATACCGAAAAGCATCCGTTTCGGTACAGAAGTAACGAATACCGAAAAATACCCGTTTCGGTACACAAATAACGAATACCGAAAAGTACTCGTTTCAGTACAGAAGTAACGAATACCGAAAAGTGCCGATTTTGGTACTGAAGTAACGGGTACTTGGATGTACCGATTTTCAGTACCCGTTACAAAATACCCGGTTCGGTAGTACCGACTCATCACTACCTCTAAATGATGCTATCAGTAACAATACAAGTATCTCACTATATTGTTTACCATATACAATTTGAGTAAAGGAACTTGTTCAATAATGTAAAAACATCATCAGTATTTGGCACAATCATTACTTTTGCTTACAGTTAAATTTACTATATTTTTATCATTACTTAATAAATATCCTATTAACTTTTATTTCTGCTGCCATTTTCTTTACATGCATTGATAAATAAAGTTGCTATAAATTCAGTAGAACATTTTCTTTTAGAAGAGAGACAAAAACTGGTCCTAGAAATGTGCAGTGGTTCTTAAATAAAATTAGCCTAGTCCTTGCCCTATATTTGTGCATAATTTTAAATGACAGTAAGATTGTTATAGTTCAATAAACTGCAAATCATTATTTAAAATTAAATTAATTAAAGAATTATTATCCTAACTGAAGATTCTCACCATACTTAATTTAATAATATTACAAAAAGAAAATCACGAGTCTATACAGACATGTTACAAGAAAATTAAAAGAAACTGAAGCTGACGTAGATTTGAACTATTAAACTTTCTCAAAAAAATTCAGCTGATGTCTATTTGAACAGCATCTTAATGGTCAAGAATTATTTCAGTAAAGAATTTTAAAAATAAAATATTTATTCAATTCGCGAAATATTCATATATATTTCAATTCGCAAAAAATTTTCATCTCAAAATATTTTACAAGAACTGAATTTTGCTTTTGGAATTCTTCTGCATATCACTGGGAGCAAAGTAAAAACTTCGCATGAAAGCTGCATCAAAACCATTCATACAATGCCTAGACTTTGTAAAACCTTTCATGCAATGGCCAGATGTTCTAAATTCATTCATGCAACTGTCTGATAGTTTTACAAAGTGTACACATTGTAAAATCATTCATGGGATGTCTATGCTTTGTAAAACTACACAGGATAATACATTTCATAAAAACCACTCAAGCAATGCCTACACTTTTATTAAACCAGTCATGTGATGCCAGCACTCTGTAAAACCATTCTTGTCATCACTCTTCCCAAAGCATATATAAATCTGTTATCAAGATTCACATTTGCAAGCAGGAACACTGCTTGTGATTACTAAATATAATATATTTACTAATCACCATTCCTACTGAACACTAGTTAAATTAATTGTACAGACAAACCCTGTTCCCAAAAAGAATATTAATTTTACAAATGGTTTATGCTTGCATGGTTACAAATAGTTTCACATACAAAACATAGCAAATATTTTCTGAACATGATAGATTGTGAAGAGAACTAAATATCACTGAAAGAGGAAACCTGATCTTTTTTACAACAGAGCAACATGCAACTAGCAATTTTCTCTCAAAAAATATATTCATCAGCATATTTCCAGTAACAATCAACAGCTCCTTTTTATTATGATAATTTATATCTAAAAACAAGAAATCTACCTTTTAAGCTGGTTATTTTAAGGGGGGGAAATGGCACAATTTACATTCATCAGCCAATATGGCAACCTTTTAAGATGGTTTTTTAAGGGAAAAAATAGCACAACTTACAAACTTTTTTATTGACAATACTTACACTGAACAAAAGAACAGTGTTAAGAAAAGAAAGAAACTGTTATGATAAAAAAGAACAACACATTTAATTTAACACTTAATTAAATTAAATTAAGTAGCCAATAGGCAAGACAAGAACATACAGCTTCCTGTAGAAAATTATTCAGTGTATGCTGTTTAATAGAGAAGATCAGATTTGTTTCTTGAGTGGATCTAAATGTTTTTATAATTTCATCCAATAAATTTCGAGCTTTAATCATAATTTCCTGTTGTTAATACATTTGTACACATTACTAACAGTCTGCAACATGATATTAAAAAATTCAGATTTCTTGAATTTTAAATGTTTATTTAGTGAAAGAAAACAAACCACATAATTTTCATATTACCTTTGGTGGTATATAAATAGAACAAAATTACTAATACCAAAAACCAATATATTATAAACACTGAAAATGTATGAGCATATATGCCACATAGAATACATTTTTGATTTAGGTCGAAGGGAAAACAAAATTTCTAGAATTAAATTTTAAGAATAATAAGTATATAAGAGAAAAGATTAACATAAAATTAATACCCATGAAAGAACAAATCGCTTCTTTGGTTCATTTTTATTTTTTATACTAAAATATTGCTTTCGTATACGCCAACCTAAAACAAAGAAACATATATGTGAAAGACATAGAAAATTCTGTAAACCATATGCATTTTTTAACACGTAATTAAATTATTTTCCTTTTTAGTGCTTCAGCAAAATATTTATAATCATTCAATACTTATTTTAAAAACTTCTATTTTTTATATTTATATTCTTTAAATACTTTAATATTAAAAAAAAAACCTTTAAAAAATAAAAATTTTATAGGTGATATATTACTGAAATTTTTTTTAAAATTACATAAATATTAATCTTAATTTTTATTTATTTTTATTACTGATTTCCCCTGATTTCCCTTTAGCTGATTTGCTAATTTTCTTTTCTTGCTTTTATTAAAATTACTTAATTATTCAAAATGTTTTTAGTCATATAAACAGGTATTTTTATCTAAACTTACTATATAATTCAAAACCAAGTACTAAAATATGTTCATAGAACAAGGTACAAGTTCAAATACTAAATTTATTTAAAAAATAATTTGTGAAGGAATATTTTAATTTTTACAGTGCTTTTAAGATAATTTTTCACTACATGTAGAGAGAAATTTCTAATAAAAATATCTGCTGCCAGAAAAATTCATGTTACAAAGAATCTGTTAAAAAACAGGGGTGTCTAGAATCATCAGATTTTGAACACATTGTCCTTCACCCAGACATATACACCTCGAGTTTTGAATTTTTTACTTATTTCATATTTTGTTTGAATTTCATTATTTTCTTATTAACCACTTAATTGAATTTTTTACCTGAATTTTATCCAAAAAGTGTCACACTTTTTTACTGCATTTTTTTGTTCATATTATGTCTGTAAACAGGAAAACGCTATTAAAATTAACATTCGTGACATTTTTAAGCATTTAGAACAACTTTTTCTATAGCAAATAAAAACAGTACTATTTTTTCTGCATGTTGTTTTTCCTTCTTATGTAAGTACCTAACAGGGAAATTACATTTATGGTTGTATATATAAAAAAATACAATTAATTTATGTTCAGTTAGCCTTTTTTTCCCAAGGATTTTGATTTAGTGTGATGTAAATTAAGATACGACAAAAGGCATGATCTAGGTAAAAATAACAAATCTCTATTCTAATTCTTTTGCTGTTGTAATTTTACTTCAAATCGAACATATATCGCAGCATCTTGCAGGTCTTATTTTTTATTCTCCTGTACATAAAATCACCTGTAAAAGTGTCTTCCTGCTTAATGGAGCTGGTAAACAACCAGGAATACCCTTCCTTTACCTTTTACTGTGCATGCCTTTCAATCAGTCAAACGATAATATCCAAGTGAAACTGTAAATTTGCATATTTACCACCATGGTTTTCATACTAGTATTGGAGTCATCCAGAAAACTTTCACTAATCCCAGCAGCAATAAATGAAGATGATATAACAGAAGTTTTTCATTGCGATGGCAATACTCAGTCATCAATCAACTAACAAACAGCAAAATTTATAGTATGGTTATAAATCCAGAAAATATCACTGAAATAACGAAGAAAGTGACTGAGAACTAAAAACTTTTGATTGATAATTTAGTAGAAATTCTTGGTGTGGCAATTACAGGATTTGAACAATAGAATTTTAACAAAAAATTACGTCTATCTGTAGATTTAATGAGAAAGTATTAGCTCAAAAAAATGACGTTAACAACTTAAATTGAAGAATGTTTAATAAAGTAAACTAACAAATATTGATTAATCTTTTTTTTCGTAAATTTTGATTCCCTTAAGGTCATTATTTTATGAACCATCATTTCATATTTTTAAGTTCATAATTTCTATATGTCATCATAAGATTTGAACTAATGATCCAGTAAAATAAATCTCAAATCCAGAATTGCCAAAGTTCCAACGTGTCCGGATCTTGGACTTTATCCTGTATATAGGTGACTGGCTGTGCAAACTGATTGTATCCAAAAGCATTTAATGATGACAAATTGCTTCATTAATTTTCATACAGGAAAAGTTCTTTACGTGAAAATGAAGTAATATACGTAACATACTGCCTAAAAAATTGCCACAAGTATACAGGTAACCTACTTTAAGAGGGGTTACTGGTACCATATAATAAGAGCTTAATATACTTATAAAATTATACCGCAGTTCATAATTATACTTTAGTTTCGTTAAAAAGGCTAAGCTATTAATGGTGACATGCATATTTTCCTCTGGTATCTGACACTCATGAAATAGCTTAAATGTCAAACAATAATTTTCTTCTTTTTAGATTTAATAGTACTGATAAAGTTCTGGCATCATAAATATGGAAATGGATATTCAATAGGAAGTAGCAGATATGTTTAATAAAATTGGCAATCATGTGATACATTTAATTTTTTAAATGACAGTACAAGAAGTTTATATCATCCAGGTACTTTTATGAATTTTTTTTGGAGGGAAAAAGTGATGATAAGATTTTATCTGTTATATTAAACAAAATCATATGATCCTCATAACTATTTTTACTATTGGAAAATATACTTTTATTTTTTAATCATATTTTAAATTATTCATCTAATAAACATTTATCATGGGGAAACACGAAAACTAAAATTCTGACAATTACGCTTCATGTAATCTCAAACATATCAAGTATTATTTTTCTTGTGCTCAAGTTTCATTTCTTTTCAATGAAAACAATAAAGTAATTGGAGAACTTGTGTGAGATCTGAAAATGTTAGCTACAAATACCAATCTCAGACTAATGACTGAATAAGGTAACTGAAAGAGGCAAAAATTATAATTTTCATTTTGTAATTAAGTGCAAATCCTGTAAAGCAAAAAAAGAGCAGAATCCAAACCATTACTTGAAAGTTACTAATTAACTCAAATTTTTCATAATTTATACATAAAGTTTTTCTTTTCTCTCTTTCAAGTTTCCCATAACTGTTGAAAACACACGTAAAAAAAAAAATTATTAAGCTAAGCTATAAATTTTAAATTTGAGAGATAACTATAAAATTACTCTGACAAGATATAAAGGGAAAAACATTTATTCTAAAAGAAATACATACATAAAAGAAATACATTTTTAAAAAACAACTTTTACCAATGCAACATATCCAAATTATCCAACGCATTTGTGCCATAAAATTAGGAAGCAATATTGAAATTTATACCATTCCAAAGGAAATAGCTTCCATACACTACTGACATTACACATTTGTTTAGCATGTAACATAAAACATAAATTAACAGAATATATAAATTTAAAAAAAATAATTAATATACGTAATTATTACAAAGACATATGTAAAAAGTTGTAGAAGCAGGATACCGGCTAAAATGCAATAAAGGCAAGCCACACTGTTCAAGGTTTGAAAATTATATGCTTGTTTCAAATAAAGGCAAGCCACACTGTGTATAAAAGTGTGTGTGGATGTGTAATATATGGCAAAAGCTGATAATAAAATTTGATGTATGTTCTTTTTTTTTTTTTTTTTTTTTTTTTTTTTTTTTTTTTTTTTTTGAACTATCAATCAAGTGGCACCACCAAGATCATCAAAAGATAATATTTAATCAGATGAATAAAATCAAATAGAGCTATATTAATATACAATGCAGCCTTTCATTATCATGGAACTTAATATACAACACAAAAGCAGACATCATAATGTCTATTTGTTCTAGTGACAAAAATTATATGAGAATTGTAGTTCTTGAGCCAAGAAGGCATAATATAAAAAATATGGTACACTGCTAAAAAAAGGGGGAGACAGTGCTATATCTCCGGTTCTACTGGGCCGATTGACAAAATTTAATTTGCATTTTTCATGTCTCGAAAGTGCAACTTGGGATATATATTAGATTTATACATAGCACTATTCTAACATAGGTATTTTGACACAAAATCGGACTTTTTCTGAAATAACATACCAATTTTTTTCCATATTTCGATAATACGACTCAAATTATGCCAGAATGCCAAGTTTGGAAAAAATCGTACGAGTAGTTTTTAAAATATTAGCTCTTAAAATTTTAGCTCCTCAGTGTTAATTGAATTTGGCAAATATTTATTAATATCTCTTTTTTTATTAAATTTCTTTTATTTTTCCTTTCACATTTCGAAATTTAGGTTCATTCCAAATAAAATTTACCCATTTTTTGTGCTTTATTACCTAAATTTCTATTTTTAAATAATTTTTATAAATTTTTCGAAAAAAATTTGAATTATAACCTATAAAAATTTTTACCATCATCTTAAAGTAGGTGTATTTTTAAGCATATCTGCAAAAAATTAGACTTTTTTATTCAAAATTTTCTAAGATATACACGAATTTACATATTTTCGCGTTTTGAAATTTGGCATCTTTTTTTTGAGCGATAATAACGCCAAATGTGGTTCTATGGATTTTTTGTAATCTTACAGTGAATTGCCACAGCTATTTTTAACCTTAAATTTCAAAGTAAAATTTTACGGAGAATTAATTATATGAAATTTTTTCCCTCAATGATGCGTAATAAATATTTATTAATACTATATGAAAAGCTATTTTTTTTAAATTATAGATGATATTATTCAAATTTTTAACTATTTTTTTTTTTTTTAAAATTTTTTCTCTTTTCTTCTTTCTTTTTTTTTTTTTTTTTTTAATATTTTGTAAGAGTAAATTTTTACCTTCGGCGTTTTATCGTCTGCTACTTTACTTTAACTTCGTTTAAATCAAATTGTCTAAAATTGAGAACTTTCGTTTGATGTTTATTTGAATTTTATGAAAATATTTTATGATATTAACTGCACAATTTATTTCTGAACAAGCTGTTGCTTATGAAGTGGCTGATACTATCATCCATATTTTTAAAGCACAGTATATTTTTATAGAAGCATAAGATTTAGAATAATCATTTTTATATTATATTATCATTTTATATTATTTTTATATTCAAGTCAAATTATGATATAAGCATACAACCCTCTAGAGACTGAATTAATGGAAGTTCAATGGTTATGTAGAAATGATCTGCAGCTACATAATGGCTGGATAAGTCAG